TGTTGCTGTGGGCTAAACTAGCACAATGTGCCATATCCTGGAGCTTTAGTTTGCTTTTTCCTCTGGCTAACAGACCTGCAGATTCTCAAGCTTGCACTCTACTTATAGAAGGAAAAGTGTTGCTTGGAAATGGATTATTTTTATTTTTGTTAATTCTTGCTTTAACAATTAATGTTGATCTCACTTTGGAGTGCATTCTGTTACTTGGATGACGACTATATTGTCTGGGTTTTGCTTCATTTTGTTTTCTGGTAACGTATGTGTTGCAATGCCATCAAAATTTCCTTTCCAAAAAAAGACCTGTTTAGGAAGAGCTGCTCAGATAGCTGTAATCACTGCCTCCTGTGTTTAGGTCAGTCAAAATAATCCTCTATCATTTCCCACTTGTGAGAGAAAAGGGTTACTTGTGTGTGTCAGAATCACTCTTGGAGGCTCCAGCAATGGGTGGAGCACTCACAGCTATGCTGGCCTGCTCCAAGGCACAACCTCCTTTTCTCAGTTCTGCAAATACTGCTCAGGGCTGTTGCTGCTCCCTGGAAGGCAGCTTTCAGACTGCAAGCAATTCGTTTCAAGATTTAGATTTAGACAATTATTGATATAATTGCTCACAATATAATGAATTAATGACATCTGGTAACAAAATTATTTCCAGTACAATGCAATAGGACCTGTCAGTATTCATAGGATGGATTTCCCCCTCATATGAAACTGAAAGTTGTATCTGAAGACTCCATCATTTCTGGATCAAGACTAGCTAATGTGTGTAATAATTTTTTTTTTTTCAGAGCAGGGTAGGTTGGGGTCTGTCCTCTATAATCATTTTTCTGGTGAAGAAACCCTGCCTTTTCAGAGAAATAAAGTTCTCACAGAGAAAATTGAAATTTTGCCCTAAAAACCAAAATTGTTTTCTACCAGGAAAACTGAACAGATGGAGTCCCACTACCTGTCTGGAAGGCTCTCGTGATTTCACTTTGCAAGAAGGAATAAACTTGACTAGGTGCTTGGCTAGAAATATGACCCTGCTTCAAGTATGCCCAAACGAAACACATTCAAAGTTTCTTTCCTTTCATTCATTTGAGAGCTTTATTTCTTTCCATGCAGTAGAAACTCCATTTTCTGGTCAGCTCAGTCCTTGAGCCCTTGCTCCAGTTCTGGCAATGAGCTTCTCTGTGATGCAGGTCATGCTGCTTTGCTTTGCTCTTCCAAACAGAGGTATAAAGCTGTGACCTCCAGAGCATTGTTGCTGGTGTCAGTGACTTGTTTCTAGGCTGAAGAGTCAGAAAAGTCAGAGTATAATACTGGTGACCATGATGTCTCCTCTGGGAGAGCTCCCCAAACCAAACCCTTCCTGCAGCCTTGGCTAGTCCCACTCCAGTGTGCAGCAGGTGGTTTTCAGCTGCCACTTTGCTCCAGGCCAGACCCACAGCTTGATTCATGCCTTAGAGAGCTAGTACCTCCCCTTTTTTACTTCATGTCAGCCTATAGGCTTGTTCCTAGGCAGCTTGATAAGGTTCTTGTAACAGTTACTGAGTGCCAGTGTAGGAATTCATCTGGACATAGGGCATCCCCATCTGGGCACGGTGCCAGGGTGCAGGCTGATGAAATGGAGTGCACTGGGTGCAGCTGGGCAGTTGCTTCTGTTAAAGGGGGGAGGCTGAGGAGCTGAATATGTGCTGCAGCTGTTTGCATGTTTTGCCTGTTGGATTGCCTGCCAAAATCATGACAAAGCCCTTGGATTTTCTGATGGAGTCTAAAAGGTCTGAACAAATAAATAAATTATGAAACAACTATCTACACAAAAAGGGGGCAAGCATTTTCTTCCCAATGAGGAGTCAGGAGGGAGCCAAATCCCCGGTTCCTAGAGTCAGTGAGGTACCTGAGTGGCTAATAAATTGCCCCAAAATTCAATTGTCTTGTACAGTCCAAGGGAGTTCCTTGCCTGGTGTAGCTTGGAAAAGAACATTCTCTTGATCTGCAGCAGCTTAGGATAGCATGACTGACAAAGCAGGCCCTTAAACGAGAAACACTATCTCGGAGATCAGAAGAGAAATTGTGGCTCCTGACATCCGCCTTCAGCTTCAGTTTCACTTGCCTGTGTAAGAGCAAAATGTGGTTTGAAAAGTTCAAAATGCCCTGGGAAAACACACAGCTGTTCCCTCTATTTAGAAGTGAAAGACAGCTCCAAATTCTAGCAGTGGTGGTTCTGCCTCTCTCAATGAGTTACAGCTGGCCAGGCACTTGAATTTCCTGCACAGCTCCGCTCTGTGCCCAGGCCCACAGCATGAAGCGATTGCCATGACAACCTTTCTTTGTGTCTCTGAAAACTGACCGCCTGCTTTCAGGGGAAATGACACAGAAATGTGATGTTCGCTGTCTTAGATAAAAATAACACCTGATGAATCACAGTTGCAGGAGACTGATGAAGTTTATTTTTTGTTGGATTTGAACGTTTCTGGGTATGATTTAGTGCATAGTTCTTTAGATAGGCTTTTCATTTGTAATCACTGAAGCTGACAGCTGATCATTGATTCTGTATCTTCACATAGTTTTTGCTTCTATTCAGAGCACAAATTCATGATCTCCACATTGATTCATTCTTCCTCATTCATATTTTTCTGGTGTAAGATTACCGTGGCTTGAAGTCACAGAAATATGAGTAGTATATACCACAAAGCTGTTCAAGGAAGTAGTACTATTGAAAAACCTAATTGGATCTGACTTAATTTCGTTTTGCTGAACTTAAGCCATGAAAGAATGTGTAAAGCTCTCAGCCTGGCTTGGAGGAAGGTCCTAAGTGTAGTTCTAGGCATGGGACAGCTCATCTGTCTGTCAGGCGGTCCTTCAAGTTTAAATTTGGAAAGAATACTGATGAATGTTCAACTTCTTAACATCTAATCTACAACAATTTCATGTCTATTATCAACAACATCTGATCAGGCTTTGCAAAAACTACCAGCAATAGCTGTGCAATTAAAAACTTCCAGGCTTTACTGATCTCGTCTACAGAAATCATAAGAAATGGGTTATAGTTCTCATGTTCCAATACATTTTTCATGCTCTGAGCCTTTCATTGCATTAGAAGGTTGAAAGCAAAAAGGATTAATGGCCACAAGCCATTAGACCATAGAATATTACCATACAATTAGTTCTGCAGTTTGTCCCTATCTTCTATCTGAACTATATCCAATTTATTTTTTATTTTTAAAAAAGGCATTCAAACTAGACTGTCTGATTGAGGATTTGAAGCCTTCTGAGTGCATTTATTGCCCCTCAGCTATGTCATAAATCAACAATGAGATTTCTGAAGGTTTTGCAAGACTAACATCTTGAACAGAAAAGCTAAGGGTTTAATTACTGATTCACATATGTGTGCCTGCTAGAAAATGTATGCTAAAATTAATAACCAGTGCAGTTCATCAGTATTTACCATAATATCATACTCCTATGCTATGGCTGTTGAGTGTAGGAGAATTCTTAGTGGAATAAGAGATAACTTGAAAAAGAGATTGAATGGAGAACAAAGATAAATAAACATTAGCTGTTTTTCCAGAGATCATAGACTTGATTCTTTGCACAGAGAGAACTTCTTGTTGATGGCTTCACAACAGAAAAAAGTTTTTGCTGTAATTCTGAAAAGAAGCAGGCCAAAAACTCACAAAGAACATTCAGACATGGTTTCTGTGCCAGTAATTTGCTGGGTTGTGTTAGGAAGATGTGCTCTGTGAGACAGAAGACTGGCTGAACCATGGCAAAGTGGTAAAAAAGCACAAGGGTTGCTGTTTTCCTAAACTTAAGAATCATAGCAACATAAGTAGAAATAATAAAACAACTCCTAACTTGACAACAACCGACAATCTGATGTCGTAAGTCAAAGGCAATTTAGCTAAAATGTATCATTTTTACCAATTTCGCAAAAAGTTATTCACCTCACCCCTGAGAAATGACACTGAGCATTGAGATCTTTGGTGGGGAACGTAGGTGCTTATTCAGTATGATTTACTGGACTTGAAAAAATTTGCAAAATGACGGTTTGAAAGACCCTTTCGACCTGTTTGGAGGTAATAAATGCAAAGAGGATTAAAAGCTCCAAGAATCTACTATCATCCCATCAAAACTGTATTGTTTTGATTTAAATGGGAGTATATGACTAACTTCATATTTCAAAATTTATATACACAAGTATTTAGCGTTCTATTTGTTTGTTTGTTTCCAGAGTGGTGATGTTTTAAGAATGAGATAGAAGATTTCTCCTCTGTATTTGCGGGACAGAAAGATTTTCAGGCTGGCTACATCCACCAACACACTGAGTCAAAATACTGTCACACAGAATATGACTAGGAGGTCAAACATAAAACGTTTCTAAGCACAAAAGCTCAGAAAGGATGACTCAGTCCACTTGTTCTTCAAAGCAGGACAGTAGCATAAGATAATGAAGCAATAAATAAATACTTGTGAAGTTTGCCCTGTGGTTTTTGAGAATTTACTTTGCTTTTGGTTTTCTGTTTGTCATCACTAATCTGGGAGGCCCTGGTGATGCCAAGTGCTTGATTTTCTCGATCACAAGTTCAGTCAGTCCTGAAACCATCTGACTGCAGTCTTAAAGAAATGAGGATGTAAGAGAGTTGTCACCAATGGTTGGGAAGCACTGAGCATCTTAGATGCACAGTCAAGTCAGGCCCGTGGCATCCCCTTTTACTTTCTATTTCAGTTCATTGTCACTTGTCCTTTATCTCCTTCCCCAGCAACCCTCAATACACACAAAAATAGAAACAGAAAAACCCTCCTACTGTATCAAGTGTGCAGCCAGGTTTAAGGACATATTGCAGTTATATTTGCTTATCGTTTCATCCAAATCTTTCCATGCTCCTCAGAACTCATACTGCTGTGCTAATGTGGCCACTGCAAGAAGTCCCACTACTCCTTCTTTGACATCCTGTACAAAACATTAAGAACTTCAGAGCTGCTTTTGACTCACTGGGATATTTTTTGTTTCATTTCAGCTCTACGATGGGCCTGATGCACAATCTAACCTGATAGGCACTTTCTGTGGACAGTCTCTTCCACTGGCAGGGAGTACTACAGGGACCAGCCTTCATGTGGTGTTTTATTCTGATGGGCTGAATGCTAGAAGTGGGTTCCAGATGCTGTGGAATGTTAATGGTAAGTTAACCAGGTTTCCCCTGGGAAGGTGTGTTTCCTTTTTCCCTGTATGTGTAGTGGAGTTCCATCTTGCACCACACTATGTCAGATAGGTAGAAAGAACCCATTACAGTGCTAAAAATATTGCGTTTCCTCATAATTCCTCAAATACTTTCCCAGTGGATGTTTCTATACATGCACACTTTTGAAGATCATCTGGTCAGAGACTCAGAGCCATTAGTGACATATACTTTCATTTGCAGGAGTAGGCACAAGGGTGAGGCACATCTGCAGATTTTCTGTACAGAACAGGAGATATATGCTATTACAGGAGACTTGTGGGTAGCTGGGACTTCTTAATAGGAAACACGCAGCCCTCAGTTTGCCACATTCCTGTAGATTTGTGCTTTCTGTGCAGGCTTCTCTCTATTTTTCTTTGCTGATGCTTAGTTTGTTAGGAAGCACATTCACTTCCAGCTGCCTCCCACCCCCTGCTCTGCATGAAATAACATTGGCCAGGATATTCTTTGGGTGTTTTTCCTTTTGTTCTTCCATGTCACAAAGACCGCCACAGGCCTCTTTAAATAGGCAAGCATGCACACCAATTATAAATAAACCTGTTAATGACTGTGCAACTTCAACCTATCTTTGCAGTTTCTCCACAAGTGAGGGTACAAATGCAACTTTTTCACTCTGCTTATTTAACAGCAATATTGGGCTGTAACAAGATTAAATCTTGTGCCTTTGTACATCCCATCAAAGAGGCTCCAACCTTGAAAATAATTGAATTGCCACAGTTGCCCTGTCTGTCTAATCAATTCACACCGTTCAGCCTTGAGGGCTTTGTGAAGCAGCCGAAAGGGGCTGCGGAGGCCCCACTGTGAGCTGCCGAGGGGTATGGCCGCTGGACGTGGTTTGAATAGGAGCCCCTCCGTGCTGCCACAGAGTGCCGGCGTTGGCAGGCTCCCAAAGGGCTCCCGTTGGCTTTCAGCGGAGGCCCAGGAGCACGTCTAGGCAGAGGGGGGACGTGCGCAAGAGGAGCGAGATGGGTGGCAGGGCCCAGAGGGGGAAGTGCTGCGACACAAAGGTACCTTCCTGTGCTTCGAGGTGATGTCATTCTGGGACTGCACAAAAGAAGTGGAGGCTTTTATGCCCAGCCAGATGACATCAGCTCCATACGGTAGCCATGGTGCTGGGTTAACTTGCTTTTCTAAGGCTCTGAAAGCTTTCCAGAATCTACCCATGTAGTAACCGCTATTGTGCTTTCCTTCCACGTCTCCCTTCATGGATTTCCCGGACTCCCCACCCCCCTCCACTCCTTTTCTGCACTGACACATTCAGTCCGCTGTCGGACAGCACTGCCCTTCTGTTAATTCCTGGACCTTAAACTGCAGCCTAACGCTGCACAGGGTCCAGATTGCTAACGTGGAGTTATGTCCTGCAGAGCAGGATCCGTGGGTTCAGATGGGGCTGCTTCCTAGGTGATGCCCTTGCTGGCTCTGTACGTCACAGCTGCAACACCTCACAGTCTGCAATAGGAGTTCAAGTACCTGCAGCGGTGACCACAGCTGTAACCGTCTCCTTCCTTGCAGGTGCTTCCTTTTTTTTCCTGATTGGTGTCATGCACAAATATGGATGGCCCTCTTACCCTTGGTGGCTACAATGTCTAGGCATATACTGTTGTCCTAGACTGAATAAAATGAGATATGTTCCTGCGGTTGGGGTGCTATACTGGCTTCTCCCTTCTGAAAATCTTTAAAATGCACACAAAAAAAAAAAAAAAAAAAAAAAAAGATCATTAGAGAGTCTCTCCTTGTCCAGGGAACTTGTCAGGAGAGGCAGCCTTTGATGTTGGGGTATTTCACAGTGAAGTACTTGGGTCCCTTCTTCCCTGAGGGAAAACCCTGAAGAGAATCTAAACCTGGATCTGGTAACATCTCACCTGACAAGACCATAAAAAGGCTAAATATATTGGTGAGAGAAGAGCTTTTACTTCTGCTCAAGTGACAAATGTATGCTCTAGAGTTCCAGCTCCTGTGACCTATTTCTCAGGCTGTTCATGTGCTCCTTCATGGGAGGTTGTGAAGCATCAATGAGATGTATATCAAGGATATTCACATGCTTTGGTGATAAAAGATTGCAGTGCTAACATTTGCCACCACGTGCCTGATACAGTTCTCACTCTTTCTGTCAGATTTGCTTGCAGTTATGAGGTGATCACAAAAAGCCAAAAGCTTACTGCATTGATAACAGAAGCGAGGAGCCCCTCCAGCCACACATGACACAAATTCAAAGTGTTTTGATTTGAAGCATTTGAATCTTTTCAGTTGCTGAGACACTGGTCTGGGTTTCTGAAGAATACAGTCCCTAGGCTTTCTCAGAGACAGAATTAGTAACTGATCTAAGGAGAAGGCTGTTATTTATGCTTAAAAGTGTCCTGTATAATATTAACTTGTATAGAAAGCTGTAGCGAAAGGGTTAAATTTAAAAGGGGTTATGGTTCTGAAATAACACTGTTCATCTGAGGAGCTTTCACTGATGAGTCTAGATTTAGAGCCAGTTTGGCCAAAAATTGAAAGCTTGAATCTGCAAGGTGCTCATTACATTTCTGATATTTATTAGGAAGCTTAATATAGGAAAATATATTTGGGGGCATATATTGGTCCTTTGAGAAAGAACAAACTCTTTGTAACAGTCTAGATGCATGCAAAGATGGCATGCCAATTGAATTGCTTTCCTTTAAAAAAGTAATCAGGAGGCCAAAAGGGCAAAGGTCTTTCAGTACAAAATTACACCAGTGACAACTGTCACTATCTGAGAAGACACATATTTCCTAGATTTGTCACTTGCCTTATTAAGCAATGTGAATGTTGGAGCTAACTGCTTTATATATACATCTGCATTTCACTGGAAGCTTGCTCATTTGGCTGCTTGATTATCAGCAGAGCTTATAAATTCAATTACCTCTTCTCAGCATAGTCAAAATCTGCACCCACTGTTCTGTTTTATGTGACACATTAATTCCCCCTTTAAAAGAGCAGCAAAGCACACTATTGAGAAAATAATTATGTAGCCCAAAGTATTGTATTGCTCCTCTGCTTCACCATCATCTTCTTTCTTTTGGATTTCCCTAAGAAATGATTGGTGGTTAACGTGTGGAGAAAGCCACTTGGTTCATGAGTAGAGAAGGTTTCATTAGTCTGGGTCTGTATTTTCAGAAGATCAAAATTATTAAAAGGCATACAATAAGTGAAGACTGAAGTTTTTTACTGAAGTAAAATGTGAAATAGTTGGTTACTCCTTCAGGGAAGCATAACAGAAACAGAGATGAGATGAGATTAGGATGTAGAAACCATTCACTGCAAACATTTGCCAGGCATCTGTTAGGATTGCTGGAGAGAATATTGCATTGCAGATCAGTGAGGGAGCTGAGGCCCAGATTTCTTAATCCTTAATCATAGCTCTGTTGTGGATTTCTTGTGCATCCTTTGACAAATTGCCATTAGATCAGGTTTCAAAAATGACTATTCCTTTTCAGTGTGTTTCTCTCACATTAAGTGTAAGGATGCACAGGGTCTGATCTTTTCAAGTCCTGAGCAGTTGTTTTGAGTTGTGGGTGCTACCATGTTCAGAGGCGGCTTTTTGTGTTGCAGTCTGGCTATTTAAAACACAGACATGTTCTCTGTGAGAGTTGAGGGTGAACTAATTTCTGTTTCTTCAGCAGGTTGGACCACCCCAGACTAATACATAAGGGTCAACATTTTCTCAAAATGTTTGTTGCTGAACAGTTCAATCAGTGTCCAAGAGCTGGAAAACAGCTTTTTTTTAAAGCATTGAATACTGGGAGCTGATGTGGGAACTATGACCATGTGGTATCTTGGAGGATTCGGCTCCTGTTTAAATACCTAAATTTGCCTTTATGACTCTGTGTCCCAGTAGTCTATATTTATTATCCATCTTACAGATTTCAGACTGGGATATGTTGAAAAAAAAAAAAAAAAAACAACCAGAATTCAGGAGATAGATAAAACAAAGTAATCAAAGTTACAGAAGTGATTAACAAATTAAAAATAAAAGGAAATAAAAAGCCCAAACTATCTCTCACTTGAGTTTTTACTCTTGCATAAACCCTCATCACAAAGTTATAGTGCTGGGTTATCTCCTATTGGATAATATTCTATGAACTAAACCTACTCAAGACAGCAAAAGATTTCAAAATCAAATTGCAGTTATACTTCATGCAAGTATTAGTGCAGTACAAGCCAGTGTTCATTCTGTGTGCTCCTTGCAGCTAGAGTCAGTTAACGTACACTGAAACATTTCGCCATGAGCACAACAAATGGAACAACTCCTTTCACTTCCCTAACCCTGATTTTGCAGGAACAGTGCCTGTTCACTTTGAACTTTATGGAAGGGATTTTTCTAGCATGTGGCTAAAATATACCCATGAATAAACCTTGCAAATAATAGAGGTTTCCACAGATTACTACTTCTCTATTCATGTATAATTATCTATGAGAATGGGGATTCTTCTTTGGTTAATGAACACCATCTGCAAACCAGACTAGCAGTACTGTGGAAAGATCTATAAATCACCCCTTGCACAATCTTCAATGACTACTTAGATTTTAGCTAGAGGAAACCAAAGACACCAAATTTCCTGAGCTTTCTATTTGTTGTCCAATTTCCTAGCAACTAACACCAGGTTAGGTAGTTGTTTTAAACATTTTTCAAGAGAATTCCAGTACCTTTACACTACTAAAACAGTATCTCCTCTCTCTTTTTTCTCAGTTTATTTGAGGGCTAAAGTTTCCAAAATTACTGACATTCTTCTTGAAGCTGTCATTTTGAATACAAAATCCATATATATGTTCACATATATTCATATATGTATGTAATAAAATGCACATCTACAGCAAATTCTACATCTTCAGCCTGAACACCATTCATATAAATGTAATTTGACTGATATATTTTCTGATTATTTTAAGAATCTGACAAGGCACATTTCAAAGTCTAGTATAAGCATCTTAAATTGTTATACTTAAGAGAGTTATACTTAATGTTTATACTTAATGGTTATATTTTCAATGGTTATACTTAAACGCAGGGAATCTGTCTTCATAGGTAGCACACAAATAATATGAATAATATTAAACTTTAGGTTTCCTTGTATCTGTGATCCAATCAGAGAAAGTGATTGTGCTACAAGAATTTTGTGGCTAATGAAAATGGACTGAAAAAGTCACCAAAATAAATCAGAGCTCAAATTCTAAAGTCACCTTTTAAAAATATTCAGGACAAAAAGTTTGTGAATAGTAGGGACCCATAATGTTCCAGGAACTGAAATACAGGCTGCAAAGTCAGAGTTTGATTCTCATTTTGAAATGGTTTTCCTGGACAATTTTTTTTTTTCTTTAATTCTAAGGCTAGGCAAATCTTTCACATATAATGTTTATAAGGATTTTAAAATGTTTTTTCTATCATTATTTCAGGTTCCAGTAGCACCATAATGGCCATACATAAAACACAACACAGAACATTGTTAACTGTTTTTCTGATATTCACAACCTTTTTTTTTTTTTTTTTCATTTTAGTGTTCCACAGATGTTGCAAGTTTAAAGGCAGGGACATTTGTTTTAATCTTTTATGTATTTCTGTAAATATCTTGTTAAAATCATATGGCTTCTATATTTAAAAGAAAAAGCACAACTGAACTGATTCTTACCTCATCCATAAAAGAGCAGAAATGTAATATATAAACATTCTGGTAGCTGGCCAGCAAGTTCAGAAATTGTGTTTCTATTCTGATATAGAGGTTTATGCATGCATATGTAGGTCTGGCAAAGTAGTTCAGGTGTGAAGTTCACATATTTGCAAAGATCAGTGAGTCTTTTATTCAGATAATAGTTAGTGAATGCTTAGGCATAAATTCAAGCAATTTCTGATCTGTTTGCAAACAACTAATAAATGATTGGCAACATGAGTTCAGCACACTCATTGTAAGAAATTAATCACTGAGATCTAAACTTTACCACCATTTCACTGGAACACTTAAGAAGAATCGCTTCTCTTTTAACAAAAAGCCTTTTCTGGGAACATTTCTAGTTGGAAGAAAAGAAATGGCACATTAACAACAGTTTGACATTCTTATTCATGTACTTCACGTACCCCATCAGAGAATATTGACTGAGCTCAGAGAAAACATAAACCACTCGGGAGAGGGAGCGTGGGCAGTGGGAATGCTACCTGCAAGGGCTGCACAGAAAGAAAAGTCTGTGCGTCAAAGCACAGCACACAAGCTTTCCACTCATCTGAGCCATTTTGGGTTTAAATAAAAAAACATGTCTTTGTGGCTATCAGGAAACTCTTAGTAGGAGAAGCTGAGTCATAGCTGCCTGTTTAGTTTTAAAATGTTCCCAGCTTTCTTCAGGCTGCGATAAACAGCGATTGGCTTTGTTCTCGCCAGCTGAAACTCCCCTGCCTGCCCGTTCCCACCCCCTCAGGAGCCCAGCCATCAAGTCTGTTGAGAAATCTTTCTGTTTCTCAAGCTGGCGACAGCTTTCCCATCCTGAAGTCTGTCCAGCAGCAGTGTCCTTCCTGCTGCTGAGGGAAAATAAAGACAGTAACTCACCCTGCAAATTCAGCTGTAAAGCTGCCCGCCTGCTGACACCTTCTCTTTTTTTTTTTTTTCCCCTCCAGTTTATAAAACACAACAGCCTGGTTTCTTTTGAGGAACATTATGCCATCTTCTGATGGCACTGGGAAAAAAAAAATGGGCTGTTGGGTTACACCAAAGCTTTCTTCCTTTCTGTCTGTCTGCTGAAATGTTCATGGATTTCGAAGTTGCAGGGGCTTAGCCTTTACCCACTGGTGCTGGCAGGCCTCAGGGAAGTAAGTGCACTACCTTTTTCTGTTTCCAGAGGGACCAAAGGCAGCATTGGTTTCAAATTCACTTAAAAGCTTCTCTTACTCCTTGAGACATGGATAGCTTGACAGTGTAGCTTTGTGGCTGGAGGGCAAACCACCTCAGGGTTATGGAGCATCCTGTGCAGCAAGGTAGAGAAAAACAGAGAACAACTAAGCTCATGCCAAGTCACTTGTGAGGTCAACTTCAGCCATGTAAAGGCTTTCCGGGGTCATAGATGACTATTGTTCAGTTGTGGGAATTCTTGTGTTCAAAAGATGGTTCTCAAATGAATACTGGGTGATGAACTGAGAGATCTGTGTTACAATTCTGGCATGGCTGGAGTCTTCCTCACATCTGCATTTTAGATGGTTTAGTTTTAGTTTAAAATAGCTTCTTATTGCTTTGCTCCATTTCAGATTCACTGCTCTTTCCTCTCATAGATTTGTATTTTGCAGTCCTAGAAGTCCTTGATCCAACTGTGGCAAAGCCAGACTCAAGATCTCAGCAAAGAGCTGAAGGACCCCATGGTAGAGATGATAGCAAATGCTTCTGGGGCTTAGCAGCCACCCTTCAATAAACACCAGTGTGTCACAGAAGGTGTTGAGGAAAGCATTTGCAATTTATTGACTTATAGCTTGCTGAATTAAAAAAAGAAGTGTTAAGCAGAGCAATGGCCAGAGATACCTTGTTCAAGCTGCAAATGAGTTGAGCAGGTCAGAGGTGTAGTTTATTTGTTTTATGTTATATCTCCTATAGCTAAAAGTTCTGAGACAGGTGCTATATATAACTTCTAACATAGCGCAGTATTGCCTCTGGGAACATCGAGTTGATGATTTGTTAGGCGGTTTTATTAAGCATTTTGGGGCTTTATGCTATGTGGCAGAACCTTCCCTCTGGATATCAAACCAAAGAGACTGATGGAGTGAGGGCTTTACTTATGAAGCTTGAGTAACCCCATAAAAGCTGTGTAAGCAAAAGATTATCTAGTGCCTAAAGGAAGCATCTTGGGGCTTGAAATGCAGAGGGGAAAAAAACATTGCTGCAAGGCAGAGCAACACACATGTAAAGTGACACCAAACACACAATTCCCTTGCTTTCTGCATGTGACAGATACACAGCCATCCTACTGGCTTCTCTAAAAGTGAGGTTTCACCATGAATGCAGCTGATATAAGTCTGCCCAGACACTGGGCTGTTTGTTGTGACTTCTCACCCTGCTGACGCCTGCACATAATATGCAAGAACTTAAACACCCAAAGGGCTGGAGAGTGAGGTTAGGAAATTAATTTCTTCTTTGAAGACACGGTACATAACTTTTCAAACATAACATCTCTTACAAATCAATAAAAAAGAACATTAAACACACCAAATGTCAGAAAGCCAGTTTATCCACTGTGACTTGGCAGCTAGTAATCATGCTCAGTGGGCTGAGGGAAATGGCATTCTCTTTAATTTTATGATTTCTAAAGCAGTGAGAAATGGCATTTTTTTAACAATAGGAAGCCCTGCCTATGATATCTTAGTTCGTGTATTAGTTGAGGTCAGTAACAGCTGAGGATGGATCTGATTCAGTTTTTTAGAACTGATTAAAGTTAGAAGCAAGTAGCAAAAATGTGACTTTTCCTCTGCATCTCAGTGTCTTCAGCTGTCAAAGCAGATGCTGATGTATGGTGAGAAACATGCTAAAACATGTGGTGGAGTGCTTACTGCATGGGCAGTGCCAGCAGGTCCAGCCTGCTGGTCTTGAGTTTCTTTTCCCTGCTAGACTTTGGTTCCCTGCGACAGGACAGACCCTCAAGCCCAGAATACCCATTTGAACATGAAATGGGTGCTAAGGCCTGTCCTCATTGCAGAGCTGCCAGAGGCTTTGCCATGGTCCCTCACTGATGGTCTGTTTTACTGTGTTGTCAGGTTGTGGAGGAGAACTCTCTGGCCCTTCTGGTTCATTTCACAGCCCTGGCTACCCCAACAGATACCCAAGCAGCAGGGAGTGCATCTGGTACATCCACACAGCGCCTGGTAGCAGCATTCAACTCACCATTCAGGAATTCGACATTGAATATCACCCAAACTGCAACTATGATGTTTTGGAGGTAAGAGCAATACCTTTACTCCTCAAAAATACACAAGTTGCATGTGTTTCTTTCTGGAGCAGATGATCCTAAGAACTGCAGGAACAGAACAAACAATTTTACTGCAATTTCCCATTTCTTCTGTGGTTACGGTTATGTTCCACAGATATTGCTACAGAAACCACAATGCTCACAAGTTTTTGCTTTTAGGCCTTTAGTGCCTGTATACCTTAATCAGTAATGATGGTAGGCACTGTGCACTTCTTAACAAGGACAAAACTGCTCTGAAAAACTCAGTCTTAAAAAGTCCACCTTCTCCCAAGAACTAAGTGTAGGATGCTGTACCACAGAGATAAAATTTCCTGATGTAAAAGAAGATGATGGATCACTGGAGGGATAAGTGAAGGGAGACTTTGTGAGTGACCTTCCATAGAAGTGGGGAGGTTTATAACCCTGAGTGTTGCTATGAAGAGTCTTTGTACTCAGAAAAAAAAGAATAAAAGAATAGTGAATGTCCTAATCATCTTAGGATGGTAGAAGAAGGAGAAAAGAAGCCTCTCTCAGGGTTTACTGACATTTAAGAGACCCATAAGTGTCTTTTAAATGTCCCATTCAAGGGACCCAGACCAGATGGTCCTGTTATAACATCCTGTTACAATATCTTTGTGCTCACATTGAGAAGCAGCCAGGTGACCAACCCCAGCTAACAGATTTGAATAGACTTCTAGTGCATGAAGAAAGGATAGGAAATAATTTTAGGAAGAAATTTTTTAGAAGTATAGACTTTCCAGGTCACTGTCACTAGAGACATTTGAGATCACTAATGGAAGTTGTGTCTTTCAGTGTAAATATGTGGGTGACATTTGAATGTTTTGTAATGAACCCCAAAGATTGATTAAGAGATCTTGTACTTGTACTGGGGCCTTTTTTCTCCTCTTCTCCTGGTTGATGTGATGTGTAACCAGCACACAGCTAGACAGCTCTCTGTCCAGCACCTACACATACTCACTGTTCCCTGTTCTCACCTTTATAGCTTTGATTTCTCCAGCTCATGGTCCTTAGTGCACACTCATGAGCAATGTTGCTGGAAGACTTAACCCACATCCCAGAGCAGGTCCTAAATATACAGTTGCCAGACAGATGATTGGTAAGCGTTTGTATTAGTAGAAGAGATGTGTAACATAACTCTCAGGCTCTGAAACAGGCTTCCCTAGCTTAGCAATGAAGTAGAAGTCTTGCCCAAATGGACGCTGTGCTTTGCGTATCCTGCTGACTTTGAGAATTCTGTAGGATCTGGGTGTAAGGAAGTTGTTCGATGAATTCTCCATCAGTAACATTGGCAAGTATGAGTGTATAGCACATTGCTAACCAGTGCCTGTTAGTAGGTGTTGGCTAGTGTTTAGACAGTGTTAGACCTGTGTTGGCTGGTTTTGGTATTGACGAAGTCTATTGTACTGCAGTTTCATTGTGCCAAAACTAACTACATTGAAGCTAATCTGCCTATAAGCTTCAGTTATGTCTCTGTTACCCAGAGGAATCCATTAAACAGCTACAAAATCTAAGTCTGCTGTGGTTGACCATTTCTTGAATAGGTCAAGGACAGTGTCTACATCTGCAGGTGGTCACCCAGGAGCTGTCACGATCCAGTGAGAGTACAGGCTGACAACCATTTGCCTGTCAAGTTTTTGACTATTGGCAGGGCTGGCCTAAAACCAGTGAGTGGGTTGCCAGGCACAAATTGCTTAAAGAAGGTTTAGGAAGATCCTACAGTTTGCTGCTTTCTGTCCCTGCCAAAGGTTTTGGATTTTCTTTCTTTACCATTTCAAACTTAGTTGTTATGTTTTACTTCTTTCCAGCCTTACTCATTTATCAGCACAGATGCTCACCTTGCTGTTTGAGCTTCCCTGCCTTCCTGGCCTCAGAATTGGCATGCCTTTGAGTTACTCATCTCCTGACCTTGGCTCATCCAGTTCCCAACACCTGTCTTTGATCTGCTGACAGATATCCTAACATAAATAATTTTTTTTTTTTTTAAAAATCAGTTCATGTTTTAGTGTAGGATCAAAGGTTCTACCTGGCAGTGAACTGCAGGCATTTGGTGGAGTTTTATGTGCCTTGCCATGCACACATTTTCTTGCTTTTGTTATAAAATTACACGTTCATAGCATGATTTATGTAGTCTCTACAGAATAAATGATGACTTCAATTTAGTGGGGAAAAAAAAAGAACATGGTTAACCATTTCTGGGGGTGGCTCTGTCTTGTCCTCTTCTTACCTGTAGTTATCTATGTATGTCCAGGCTGAAAACTACATAACAAAAGTTTAAAAAGTGTTAGAAAAACAGAGATGCCTGGTGTGCCTTTGAAAAATTGTATTTCAGTGATCACTAAGGTTCCAAACTTCTTTCAATCTCACATTATCTTCCCGAGAGTATCCTGTCCAATAAGCCTTTGAGTTTCAAAGTCTGCTTTTTCTCATATTATCCTGATTTAACTTTTTCCTTATCTTTGAATAGTGGGCTCTTGTGCTTCCCGTTTTCTTTCAAGCCAATTAACTTTCCAGAAAATCAGTACTAAAGTAGCTCTGCACCCTGCTGTCCCTCCCTGTCCCATTAACCCTCTTTACCCTCTGAAATAAGAAGCTGTCTTGAACATTGCAATAATTTGTGTTCTTTTCTATTGCTTTTCCAAAATATATTACCTTGTCATAAAAATTCCCCAGTAAGCACAAAACTTGCTCACCTGAATAGATTGAGCTTTTGGTTAGAAACATATCCCCTGTTTTGATCTGGCAGAGAATTGTAGGAAAATTCTAAGAGATCTTTCCCATTTTTATACCATAGTTTCTTGAATATTTCTCTTGCACATTTTTTCTGAAGCATGTTCATTCCTGTAAAATGCAGCAACTGTCTCCTTCCCTTTCCTTTGACAATGACTCCTCAGCAAGCTGTCCCTTCCATACCAGTACTTCTGTATGTTTCACCAAGACTGTGCAATAATAGTTATGTAAAAATTGAGTGTGTGAAATCCTCAGATTCTCCCTGTGGCTTCTGAATGCTCAAATATTTGACATGCTCTCCTTTAACCCTCCTCCTCCTTGTTTCTTTTATAACACTGTTGCAATCTGTCTTTCTTTCTTACCCATCAGATTCCATTCCTTTTGCAAACATCCAGAAGCAAATTTTAAGTTGTTCTTAAAGGCATTTTATAGAAATGTTTCTTGGAAATAGAAGCCATCATCTGGGACAAAATGAAAGAGTTAGAAATATTTTTAAAATTACTTCTCTTGAAAATACATATATAGAGAAAAATGACCATGCCTTCTTTGTTAAATTATGACATCTTTTCTTTAACATGGTCCAGATTTTTCTAAATCATAAATATATTCTGCCACAGAAAGATGTAGCTCTGAGGTGAAAAGAAAGGATCCCTGACAATCTATTGCACTTCTGAGACTTAATTGTATGTTCTGGTCTTCTCATTTAAATGTAAAGAAACATCAAGTATTAGCAGAATTCTTAATTCTCTGTCAAAGCCAGGCTCTCTCTTTGCTAGCAGTTATATCTGGACAGGGATCAGTTTTATTCCCAGAAAATCTGTGTCATGAGGGTGACCAACCACATAAAAACAGCTTTCTATTGCTCATAACTCTGGAATGCTGACTGTTAACAATAAATGGAGCTAACAGGGCAGAAGCAAATGATAAGAACAGATTAAAACCATGGGCTTTATGGCAGTGTCCTGGATCCCCGCTATGCCATCCAACATAATTTTATCTCTGGATCAGGTGCTTTGATCAAACGAAATGTTTTTGTTTTTATTTTTATCTGTTTGCAACTCAGACATCCTGTGACTCTTTGTGAACCACACCCTGGAATTCATTCTTTCCATCTATTCTCTTTTCCCTCTTATGTTTTTTTTTATGTGGTAACCGTTGGTTTTCCTCTTTGTAGCCAAAAGTAACATTTTATTGGGTTTTGTCATGGAAACACTCTAAATTGTTTGTTCCAGCCCTTGTGAAAGCATCTGATTTATTGAAATGGCATAAAGGAGAAAAAAGAATACTCTCCTAACTGTAAAGAGCATGCCTTTGACCGTGCTTTTTATTTTGAAACTGTGCAGAAGGCCATTGCTTGAACAGCTAACAATGTAAAGGAGACCCACAAACCTCGGGTTTCTATCAGTATTTCTTCCCAATCCTTAATTCTCTTCCAGCGAGTCATCTATAAGTGTTCAGCTTGGGCCAAGTTCATTTCTGAGGTAATACTACAGAATCCAGCAGGATTTATGTCAGAGCTGGGTTGGGTCCCCTTGCCCATGGTGTGCAGATGGCCTCAGGGAGCAGTGGGGGTGGTGTGAGAGGCTGGTCCATGCTGCTTATTAGATGCACATTTGAGACGCCTGCTGTTTCCTCTGCCACGTATATTCTTCGGGCTGGTTTAGATGATTAAAAGCATGTGTTCCTGCTAGATCTCATGCTGTGGCTCTGACTCAGGGAGCGCACCACAAACAGTCTTTAAAATTTACATTTTGATCAGTCTTCTGACAAATGCAGCTGTTGCTGGGCCTCACAAACAGCCAGGCAGTAAGATTTTGCTGAAGACACTGAGCTTCCAGTGGACAAACGTGCTTCTTCCCCAGACTGTGACAGCTTCATTATAGGTTCTTAATCTGAGCTGTGATTTCATCTATTCTGACTTCTCTTGAATTTCTTGAAACGATCGATTGGACAGAGGAACATTCAAGTCATGCAGCCTCCCTGCAGAATTCAAAAAAGTGCTATCTCAGTCAAAACTGAACTGTTTAAGCTATTAAGCCTGTGCAATCAGCCACTAAAACAAAATGGTCTTCTGAACATCTAGCAGACTATGATGTTTATAAAAAAATGTATTTCCTTGTTTCTTCTGAGGGTGCAAGCTTCAGCTTCTGGGGTCTCATGTTACCCTGGAGTCACTGAATATTCTTTTCAGTTAAAAATAGAAAAGTTATTTCTCTTATACGTCTAATGGCAGAGCAGTGACAGGCACCGTGAGCAGTTAGTGAGCACAAATTATATAGCCAGGCACTACGCTTAGCTCTGGAGGTGATGGGAAAGTTTTGGAAAACAAGAAACAGGATTAACAAGGCTTCAGCACCACCATCTAGTTCACTTGAATTGGTTTAAGCATGTATTATAAAGTACACAATACTGCTGCTGATGTTTAAGAGAGTGGTGGCTTTCTTGTTTATAACTGCCTGAGGCACACTCTTCTGAATAGGAAATAATTACTTTTAAAATCCAAACCCTGTCTTCTGTGGGAAATAGGTATGACATATATCCTTTTTTTTCCTGAAAACTATTATTAAAATATAGTTTAAGTGACCAAAATCTCATAGTTTGGATGTTGATTGTGCCACTGAAGTAAATAAATTTGCAATTTTTTTTTTTTTTTTCAGAAAGAGTCGTGAAATTTAGCCCCAATTTAAAAATCAGTCTTAACTGTACCTTTAAACATAAAGGGTACAAAATACCAGCACAAGTTCCTTCAAAGAGTTACAGTTTATTTGCACAAGCACAGTAAAAAATCTGGTTTTATATCTCCAGCAAGGGGGATAAACAGCAAGGCTGTTTTGAAATCATCTAGAATTTCATGCTTGTACCAGGTAGTTCAGATACCAAGTAAACCTGCAGGGAAAATTATTAGCTACTTTACATTTCAAAATCTTGAATCACTTTCAATACTCAAAAATTTTTTTCCTGATAGCTAAACAGTTCCCATGTGTTCTGTGTGACAGATGGTCTCTTTGAAAAACTTTGACAATGTTCCTTCCATTTCTAGGTCTATGGTGGCTCTGATTTCCTCTCTCCCAGACTAGCCCAGCTGTGTGTCTCCAGATCAGTGCAGAACCCACTGCGAGTCTCCACTACTGGCAATTCAGCCATTGTCCGTTTCAAGACAGATGCAGCAGTGGCAGGGAAAGGTTTTAATGCTTTCTGGCAAGAAAACCCAGGTGGTGAGTATACTGGTTAATACCATGAGAAATTTAGGAAGTCTGAGAATCACAGATCAGCCATGCAAGCATTCGAAGTAGTCAAACAGCATCAGACTGAAAACAAGAATTTATGTGTGATTTGGTAACAGTAAGTGATGCTAAAAAACACACAGAGGAAAAAAATTTTGGTTTTTTTTCAGCTAGATAACTAGCTGAAATCTAGACCTATTTAGGTATTTTGTAACAGTCTACCTTGTTATGGTTTCTTCTTTATATAATTAATCAAACTGTTCCTGTAATCAGAAAAGAACTTCAGCATGCTGGCAGCTCTCCCCACCCACTCACCCACCAGAGTCCCTTATTAGCTGAATGATGCTTTTGATTTTGAACTGCACAGTCAAAAATATCTGAGAACATGGCTTAACCTGAGGAACTCCAAAAATATTTGGAGTATTTAGTAAATACTTGAACTTTATAACATTCATCCATGTCCCACGTGATTATTTGTTCAAAGCCTTACCAGCAATCAGAAAAATAAGAGACATGCTTAAAAGACCCAAGCGCATGTCTCTACATGGGAGTTCTTATGAAAAGGCTAATTATTGGAAAGTAATTGCAATGAAAAGTGAGGAGAGGCAGATTTAAATTTCTGCAGTATTGCTTCATTAAGCACACTGATTCATTAGTTTGTCAAGGTTTATACTTCTCCATTCTCACAAGTTTTATGAGAAAGGCACAAGATTTTTTTTTTTTTTTAATAAAAGAAGTCTATAATACTCTTTTGAATTAATCCCCTTTTGAGATCTGGTGGCTTATATTTTCTGCTTATGCCCCCTGAAGCTTTCTCATCCCTTCACAGCATCTTGCCTGTTATACTGCTACCCCTGCTCTAGCCTGTTAAGCACCCAGTCAACAAAACACGGTAACAATATAGTTTTTATCCTTCTAGCAGGCTGCCTCCATCTACAGCAGTCCAAATGTCTTTCTCTCATTTTCTTCCATCCCTTTAGAACATATAAAAGTCCATTTGTTTGTGTTAATCCAATTGAAAGCCCCGTCACTTCCTGCACAGAAGCCATCATTGGAGGCTATTGAGATATTCATGAGCACTAGAGCTATTCTGGTCAGAAATACCTGAGTCCTCATTGTGGAGTCCATCCAACTGTGGAGTCCTCAGGAAGCCCTCAGCTGTATGGGTAGAGAAGTAGAAACTTCAGGCTTGCAGCTGTTGTACTGCTCATGGGGAAAATGGAGTTCCTAGCTGTCTTGATGTTTTCAGAAATGGTTTCCTTACCCCTCTGCTCAGCTGGGACGAGCCATTGCTTTCTCAGTATGCTATCTGTGGCATTCATATGAACCGTATTTTTGATTGCTTTTACAATGTCTAGGACAGAGAAATACCCACTAGTGCTTCAGCCTTTACAACATCTACTACTAGCTTGGGGCTTGAAAAAAACATTGCACACAAGCATTGTTGTTGCATGTACATGAATAATGATAATGTTGTACTTTCTGATAGTAATTTCCATGGATTTGTGTTGCAGATAGGACACTTCAACAGCTGGAGCACTCATCTCACAAAAGCTTAATGCAGAAGATAAAGATAGAGGCATTCTTCCCTTTGTTTAAAAATAGAGGTGGAATCTCGCTAAGCCTAGAAGAGCTTTTGATTAAACCAGTTATGTCTTTTTTTCAGGTTGCGGTGGTATTTTCCACGCTACCAGCGGGGAAATCCATTCTCCGAACTATCCTCAACCTTATAATAACAACACAGATTGTTCCTGGGTTATCCAGGTTGACTACGGCCATAGGGTCCTATTGAATTTCACGGAGATGGACATTGAAAATCACCCTTTGTGTAACTATGACAGTGTTGCGGTAAGTAACAACAGAAATGTCAAAAGTTTCCTTAATGAGCCTCATGAAATGCTTGCAGAAGAGGAAGCTTACTATGCAACACAGGCTGCAGTTGGTTTCAGACTGGTATTTGCGTAGTCATACTTGTTCACTGACGAGTTAGGTCTTAAATTTACAGCTCAATAGTTAAGATCTAGTTCCCTTTGCTTCACCAAGGAAGCACACTTCACAAATGCACTTCTGCATTCTGCCAGGTTCACACCTGTACCTGGAAGGATCTTTTCTTGAAAGCAGTGCAAGATGCATTCGGGCCACTGCCTTTTTCCTCTTGGGGGAGTGAGTTGTAGTTCATACTGCAGGAATAACCTTGTGCATAGATGCCTGGTATTATGACATCTTTGCCCTTTTATAGTGCAGTTTACCACAGCTTGCTCCGAGCCCTAGGGTGGACTGCCAACACATAAAATAGATTGCACATGCTCTGTTACAGACGCAGGAGGCCCACATCCACAGGGAGTGGTGCTGGCTGGTTTTCATTGTGTATGCACTGTGGATGTATTTAGGTGCTCTTCAGCTGCCTGTTTAATTGCTTCGTTGGAGCCTCTGCTCTCTTAAAAGCTTCACATGGCTGTTGTTTTGTGAGCTTTTGTGGATGTCACAAATTCAAGTTGCTGCTCTATCAGTGCATGACAACAAAGAAATCTCCATGTCTCCATTTGACTTTTTGGGAACAGAGACATGAATTCTTGACCTTTGATGTCAGATTGCACTTCACTCAGTACAAAGGCATGTGTGAGCAGTACCAGTTTGATAAAGCACAGTGGCTGTAGCCCAAAATCCAGCTTTCCTCTCCTAGACAAACTCATTCACAGAGAACTCAATTTGGCATGAACTGAGACTCTTTTGAAAACAGCATCAGTTTTAACAGCATTGCCTCCTAAAGCATTTTTGTACTGAACCAGAAAAAAAGAAAAGTGTCCCCATTTTGCTGAGCAGAACTGAAGGTTTCATTTGGCCACAGAGTGCTTTTGTGCAATGACTGTTCTTTTTTTTTTTTTTTTTTCTGGTTCTGAGGTATAGGGAAATATGGTTATGTCTTTCCCTTCAAATTATTTAACTACATCAGGGCGATCATTGAAAGGGAGAATCTGTTGGAAAAAATTCCAAGTCTTCTGTGATAGCAGAAAATCAGATTGCCTGGCAGAATCATGGGACATCTGAAATGGCATTACTGGTGAAAAAAAATTAAAAAAAGCAGAAATTAACTAAATTCTGAAAAGACCTGATATACAAGTTTCTCTTTTAAGCGTGCTGCCAATGGATGTATGTACCTGTCTAAAGATTCTGTAGGGTACTCAGCTCCCTGAGCTCATTGCAGTTACAGGCACAACTCTCATTACCTCTACAGGCCAGACAGAGTTTTTAATCGCTGAAAGGCACCAGTCCTTCAGCTGGCAGAGGAGATGGTTGTGGCAGAGCTCTTTGCATGAACAGAGTTTGCAGACCAGTGCAGTAACACTCCTTTTCCTCTGTTGCCATATGAGTATCTGTTGTTTGCTTCTGCTTTTTAGGTTTTTTTGGGGCGTGTTGGTGGAGGAGGAGGTTGTCCATCAGCCCCAGCTATGCAAACACAACTGAAGCAAGAGTGTGAACAGGGATGGAGATTTAGATTTAATGCATGCATCAACCACTGCCCACCAAGTGGAGGGTGGTTTGAAAGTGAATGAGGGAGAATGTTGGTTTGAAGCTGAGAGATAATTAGGGGCCCTGATAATTAAGAGCCTGCTGTATGCAGTAGAGAAGAGCTCCTCAGTGCTAACGTAGGGAGACCAGCAGAGCAAGAAAGGAGGGGATGAGCTTGCTTTCTTTACCTGGAATGTCAATAAGCAGAAAAATCTCCTGTTACCAACACCTGGATGTGATTTGTGTTTATCTCATTCCAAGGCTTGCTGAGCCTCACACAGTAATAGGAGAACAGAGTGAGGGGACAGAGAGTGCCTGGAAATATATAAGTAAATATCTGCGTGTGGATGGTTTAGGAGTTATGTTCCAAAATCTGTGCAAATGGAAAATATGGGCAGCTAAGGAAGCTGGTGGGTTGTTTTTCTCTCTCTAATATAGGAACAACTACTGTGTATGAGTAACATAGTGGTTCCACCCTTTTCTGTTTCTTGAAGTTTTACTTATCTTTATGGATTTTATTTGTGCTGTGTGTTCTCTCAGGGCTTCCATCCACCCTTGAGCGCAGCAACGGCCTTTTCCTTCATCCTTCCCCTTCTAGACAGAGTAATTTTTTCCCTGTGTCATGACTCAAGATTTTTTTTAAAAAAAATATTTCTACTGTAAATTCCTTTCTATGGAGAACACATGGAAATGTTTGGGGGTTTTGTGTTTTTTTTTTTTGTTTGTTTTTTTTTTTTGTTTTGTTTTGTTTTGTTTTGTTTTTTTGTTTTGTAATTATTTTTTTTAATGTTTTTCATTGTACATTTGTTATATGAGCAAAACGGAGGGAGAGGGAAATACTGATGTCTGCTGCTGCTTGGCTACGCTGCAGCTCCAAAAAGTCCAGTGTGTTTGGAGTTCTGCTCAGTAATATCACATGTAGATCTGAGCAGAGATCTTGGTTGACCCAAATTAATTGTAAGCCCGTGGTGATAACCCAGGGTGTAACTGCTCTGAGCTCCCTCTAGAGTCAAGGGACGGAGTGCACAGATTTAGTCAAGACCACCAAAAAGCACATTCTGCATTCAATTAGCTGCCTAAATGCAGATGATGGCTCAGTTTCTGTGCTTCAGTTTTGTACCTTATCTGTTCTCAGAAGAGGTGAACATCTCGCTATTTGCTTAAATGAGGATGTATAGCCTCTACTTTCGCTGATCTCAGGTATAACTCAGTTATATTCTATAGAAAGCCTAAAATTTTTGAGAGGACTTTTTGCTGCCACTGTCATCATACATAAGGAATAAATTTTTAATTTATCTTTGTGTACCAGCCCATTTCTGGAGAGTGTGTCTTACAACAAACAAATGTATTCCTTTGAAGGGAAATAGAGGGAAAGAAATAGTGAATGCACTAATTCCTGTATTTTTTGCTCACGTGTTTAACTAGTATTGTATCTGACACTATACCAGGAGAGCAGGTTAGTAAGAGTTTCAGTGTTTGGAGACTTGAGGAGGACGTGCCTTGGAAGGCAGTGCTTGCAGCATGAGGCACTGAAAAGGGGAGGGAGAAGTAGTGTGTTCTTTTCAGTGGCTTTGCTTAAGTAAATGTTATTTTTCTTTCCTGTTGCAGTATACCAAGTTGTACACAGGAATGTAGGAATGTAAGCCTCTGGGAGCTAGAGAAGGAGGTATGACTGCATTTATTCTGGGTGCTGGCAGAGAGGATCTTCCAAGAGAGGATAGCTAGGAATATGTGGAGTTTTTATGGCTTAGAAATCAAAAATTGCCTTCTTTTTGTTATGTGCTTTTGCAAAATGCAGGGCACAGTTGAACAGGAAAGCAATGAGTCACTCAGTTCACTGTGGAAAGGGAAGAGAAAATGGCTGCTATGTACAGTGCTAATTAAAACTTGGCTTGTAAGTAAGCAGATGCATCATTTTCCTTTACTCATGCAGCCACAGAAATGCATTTCTCAGATATTTTCAGAATAACGTTAAGAAGTTGCAGAGAGACACAACTCTTTCCTGAACTAGTGTCTGAATATTGTGGTTTATGGTCTAGATTCCAGACCAAAATCCTCCCTATGAAATAGTTTAAGCTAATAAATAGCAGGTGAGCAAAAATGATGCAGCCATACAATGTCCATGTGTTACTGTTGCTGTTGAACTTGTAGCTGCCATAACTCCGATGAGCTCCTGCTGTATCTCACTAATGCTTATGCTGGATCATCACTTGAATCAGAGTTTTAGCAAGTGTAAAGGGCTAGGAATAATTTCTGTGTTTCTGAAAGAGGAGACAGTACTGTTCCTCAAGAAAGCTGCCCAGAAACAGCAAATAGGCTTGATTTAGAAAACATTCCTCCGACCTCATGCTCTTCTCCCAGTATTACCACAGAAAGACTTCTTTATTCCAGAAAGCTCTTGGAATGAAATGCCTACTTAGTCTCACATGTTGTTCAACCTTAATATATTCCCAAGAGAGAAAGCTCAATTACTATAGTCTCACAACAGCCCACGTGTCAATGGTGATATCCTCAGCTGTGCAGAGGGGCACAGATCCATCAAAACCAGCAGTTTACATGAACTGTAGTGAAACCCTCTCTCTACTCTCATTCTCAATTGTAGCATTAAGATAAAACCTTCTCACTACTGTCTAGGAAAAGACAGTACCTTAATTCTTAAGGGTTATTTTCTTAGTTGTTACTTTTTTTTTTCACATTCCACAGTTTGTGGGTTTTAACTCCAGGCAATCTGATTTATATACAGAGTATATGTGCAGAGGGAGAACAAACACTGTTTGCTATGTATTAAAGGACTGCTTGTGGCAGGATGCTGAGAGAGAAGAAAAGGTTGAGTGGATGGATATTTTGTGTCTCTTTACCAGGTACTCGTTTTTACAGAGAATTTTTACACTTAGTACTCTGTCACAAGGTCCCACACAGCTGGCTAGTGTTATAGGCCCAAGGGCAAATGTTTAATTCATGAATACAGCATTGGCTATGTAGAGTATGTAGTGGATTAAGCAGGAGTTTTGTCCTTTGTTCCCCGTCTCCGAGGTTTATTTGAGACGGCTCACTTTTCTCTCAGCTACCATTTATTTTTCCACTAATGTGCTCAAACGCCTTTGGATACTGGAGGCAGAAACATTTAATTGTGTTATACACTTTAGTTAGAAGGTTTTAATTCATCAGTGCTGCATTGCACGCACTTGCTGGAATTTGAGGCGTTTTGAAGTAAAAGAAGACAATCTTAATAAGAAGTATATTTATTCAAAGCCAATGGCATTATCTTGTTCAAAGTGGGCTTTTGTATAGCTTTCAACATCCTAGCATCTGAATAGTCTTCCAGTCCTTCTATCCATATTTTTATCCATATTTTTCTCTGCTATAGGAAGCTGAGTCACAGGTTACATTAAATGCCACGGCTATGGTAATGCAGGACATTAAGCTGAAACAGGAACTGAATTCAACTCTTGTTGCTGCCCAGTACCCCAAAGACTCTTCTTCTGTGGGTTATGCAACTCCTGATGGCTCCAGAGCTCATCACGTCTGAAATCAGGCACAAGGGCTTTGAGACTGGCCCGTGGCTCAGAACACAGCAGCAACAAATCACATCTCCTGGAGTGCTAGGAAATTTCAGAGTGAGACTCTGAGAGTATTGCCATTTTTCCATTTCTCCTGTATTTTTTCTTATTATCATAGAATCACAGAACGTCTGGGCTGGAAGGGACCTTCAAAGGTCATCTACTCCCCCCCCCCCCCCCCCAAACAGGGACATTTCCAACTAGATCAAGCTACCCACAGCTTCATCTAGCCAAAATTAGTCAAAATTATAATTTTGATGTTGCTTAAGCTAGAAAGTCATTGGTTTTAACTTCACTATCCTTCTCCTGATTGTAAAGCAGAGAGGAAGGAAACAAAATTATCAGCTGTAAAGTGAAAAAAGAGAAGGAAGCATTTGTGGTAAAATGAAAAGTGAAGTTTTGTAAAACCATATTTGCCTTCTTCCTCCATTTTTTAACTTTTCTTTATTCACTGCTTAAATAACACTGCAAGTGTATGTGTGTAATTCAGCACGCTAAAGCTATTACAAAGCACAGATATGTGGACTCTGATCTGATGCTGGGTACATGTATTTAAAAAACATAATCCTAATATTTTCTCTTCCTATACAGAGTCATAGCTCCCACTGGTGCACTAGTTGCATGATACAGCAAATTTAGAAGTCTTTAGTGAGACAACATGTAAGGTTTCACTGACAACAGCTACATGGGAACTCATGTTAGCCATTAACAGAAAATAAATGTAAGGGGATATCTGGACTGTTAAAGGAGAGTTGCTTCTGTACTGGATTCAGATGAAGGTTGTTTTTTCGTGCATTTTTTGTGATAAAGGCTACAGTATTCAGCCTGAAATACATATGGGGTTTGTTTGTTTTGTTTATTTTTTGTGTTGTGGGTTTTTTTTGTTTGTTTTGTTTTAATGGCCACAGAATTAAGATAGGCTATGCATAGTTTGTTTGCACTGCCCACACCAGGGTTGCATTGGAATCAAAATGGATCAAACACAAGGGAAGGACTGAAATATAGGTCTTCTCTACACTTCTATGAAAACCAAATACTACATTTGATCTTTTTATAACAGGTATTTGATGGTCCTAGCAGTGAAGCACCGTTGCTTAAAAAACTCTGTGGAGCACAGCGTCCTCCTCCTATCACCTCCTCCAAGAATCTAATGTACGTCCGACTGCGCTCTGATGCAGCCATCCAGCACAGGGGCTTCAGTGCTCGTTTTACTGAAGGTAATTTTGTCACTTACATTAATGCATATTTATCTAATCACCATTTTGTTGGTGTTAAGCACAGTCTTTTAGCATAGCTGATAATGGGAAGTATTTGTACACATGCAGCATAGCAGTGTGTATCTGTACAAATTATGAAGTGTTTAAGGGCTAAGGATCATCTTAGATTCTTTGAACAGAGGAAAAAAAAGTACTTTTTATAGCAAGGCATCTAGAACACATCAGTTGCCTCTTATTCCACCTCCCTAGAGGGTTAGCTACCCATAACTGTCCTGAGAAAAATATGCAACTGTCAGTTTCCACAGACAAAATAACATTTTATATGTCTATCAATGCACACGAATATGAAAAGCTGTACAAGAATTCTGTGTGGTGCTGTTGATGAAGTACATGGATTCAGGCCTGCAAACCCTGCCAAACATCAACTATCCAATTTGTGAAGGCCTAATTTGTATTTTACGTGATTTCCTCTTTAATGAAAAATTACACCATCTGGGCAGATTTTTTCCATGAAATTACATACTCTTTGATGATTGGTGATTTTCTTTAATTTTTTTTCCCACAATAACTTTGGAAACTATTTCTACCCAGAATATAGCCGTTTAGTTTTTGCAAAGAAAATCCTTCTCTTTCATTTTCTTCTTAGGATTCTTTTCACTATAAATGAGTAATTTACTCAGATTTTTTTTTTGTTTGTTTTTGAAAATACTGTGAAAAATTTTAAAGGAAAGGATAAATATGCAACAGCAAAAATTTCAGGAGCCTCAGTTATTGAGGTACTAGCTAGATACCAAGTTAGGCATTTCTGACTAACAGCTATGAGAGCCTAATGTGTTAAAAATTCTCAGAGCACATTGACTGGATTAGGCCTTGCACAAAACAAGCCTGGTGGGTAAGTGCTCCCTACCCAGGATGTAGGCAACCCAGCTTACTTCTTCTTGAGAAAGCCCTCTAAGTCCCATCTCCCACTGAATGCTTTAGGCATCACAGCACAAGAAATGAATCTCAGTCTTTGGTACCTAACTCTCCACCCAGCTGTTTGAAGCAGTTGTGTGTTAAACTCAGATCTGGGGAGTTTATGATGTGTGAGTGTGCTTAGGAACAAGGCATGGCGGCACTCAGCATTACTAGCCCAGGCTATGCAGTCAGCCAAGCCCTTGTACACGTGTGACCTTTCATACAATCACAGTTTTCTTGATGCAGCTCACAAGAAGATCATGCCCGTGCACTGTGATGCCATCCTTGGGAAGTTCTGGAGAGTTTCTTATGATTTTTTTCTTCCTAGTTGCTAACACAAGCAAATGATCAAAGAAATGCATGTGTGATTTGACTACCCTGAAACCAAGTTATTTTGGCCCCATGATTGTTCTTCTGGGCTATGAGTAGCTGATAAAGGTGAGGTCTGTTCCCAAGTCAGTCTGGCTTCTCTCAGATGATCTGCCAGGGCAGCATGGCCTGTGGATCCAGGTCAAGAAAGTACACCTAGTGTTGGGAGCTAGTCCTTAAGTCTCATCTCATAAATTGCTCTTTTGAATTTTACCCTCGTTCCACTTTGAGGTAGTGTGTTATATTTTATGCATTCATTTTCACTACAGAATCTAAGACATGTGTTGTTTTTTATTTTACTATATATATATATATTTTTTTAATATATCTATGTGTTTATGTGTCTATGTATGCGTTTCATTCTAAAGCATGCGGAAGTTCCATAGAATCAGATTCAGTTGGGGCAGCAATTTCCTCTCCTCTCTATCCTGCCAAATACCCAAACAATCAGAACTGCAGCTGGATTATTCAGGCTCAGGAACCATGTAAGTAAAAACAGCTTTTATCGTTAACTGGGATGACTAACATCCTCATCTTCTTTTCTGTAATAACAATACAAAATTCCTCCTTTATTTCTCTAGGAAGTTCTGCATCCTGGTAGCTGGAGAGCGTGGCTCTCCTAATCTGTTCCAAGTCATATTTCACTGGATAAGATTTAGTGTGTAGTGAGGAAAACAGTTTACAGCTTTGTCATGTTAGCTGATTTCCTGTGATCCAAGTGTTGCAATTTAGGTGTTGAATACTCTGTGAAGCTGGATTAATAAGGGAGGAAAATCTAAGGGTTTATATATAACTAAAGCACCTGTATTTAACTGATGTTATTTTGGTCTGGATTTTTCAAGCTAGAGTTGTGTTAGATCTAATGTATGCTGTTAAAATTTAAGAAAAGGTATTTAATTACATAATGTGAAAAGGTACAGAAGAACTTCAATTCCAAATACAAACAAAACGAATTATAAATAATCTGGTTTTATCAGCATAGATACACTCTTCACATGTTCCTGTCTAATTTTACACAGATTTATGACTGATCATAAAATAATAAGTTATTTTCCATCAGATACTGATATTGCCTTTAATACCTAGTATTATCTTTATATCGTATAAGATTCCTAAAAAATTATTTACAGTTGCATAAGAGTATCTTGAGAACATTATTTAAATTTAATGATTATTTCTAGTAGCAACTACTGAATTTCACTTGTTCGTCTGATATTTGGCCATTGTTACTAAACTCATAGAATGCCACAACCATGTTTATGAGTTTATTTTGCTAAGTTGTAAAATTAAAATCAATTTGCAAAACAAAACAAAGATCAGGAGATAAAAATATTTCTTTTTTTAGCATAAGTTCTTATACTAATAGCTGAAAAGGACATCATCAAAGCAGTTCCTCCAAGCGGTTCCTCACCTACACAACATTCATTTCTAAAGACAATCTTTTCCTGGTTCCAGTTTGAAACCTCATACATAACTGTTGTCTCCTGAATTACGCCAGTATGAGAGACCAGGAAAATGCTGTATAAGTAGCTTGTACATGTAGTGACTTCCTCCGTTTACCACCAGGACCACCACGTACCACACATCACAGGTCCACGTGGCTTCATTACACCAGTCACACAGCACTGCGGAGAACAGCCATATGCAATAGATCTAGCCAATGGCAAACCACAGCAGAGTCCCTGCTCTGCTTTTACAGAGGAGGCCAACATGTCTCCTGCTCTTGCCACCCACTGTGTTTTTCCTTTTTGGTTTGTATCCCGAGGACTGGCATTGACAGCTGTAATGGATTGACCGAGCAGGACACAAAGGAGTGCCGGGCACGGAGACCGTGCGGCCGCGTGCCCATCAGGGGCACCCTGCTGAGTGCACTGCCTGCCACCGCCTCGGTCACTTCAGCTTATCCAGCTAATTAACTGTAGCCCAGTGAGGAGCAAAATGTTTCTGTCAAATTCAGTCTTGGTCAATGTGGGAGAAAACTGTTATCATCTAAACTGTAAGAACCTTTCTGGCCTGCTCGAACTGCATGGTGGCTCTAAGGCCAATAGTAACTACTGTCACAGACTGGTGTGGACGACAGCCTCTCTTCTCCCAGTTGTGACTTCACCTTTGTTCATATTGGACAAGCAAGAGAGTATGAGAGGCAAAAAATACCCTGAGTCAGAAATCCTCTTTTTCAGGACATAGCCTGAGGTCCAAGGGTGTGGAAAATCCAATTCTGTACAAATATAGCTGAGGGTAGTTAATGATCCTTTATCTGGTCCAATTGATGTATGGGGAACATTACAAAATGATGAAAGAACCAGCTCTTTCTAAGCCTGGAGCAGGGCAACATCAATTCACATTTCATCTGGATCTATGCTATAGATTGCAAAAGGACAGAAGGTCATGAATGTGTAGAAATAAGTTTTGTTTGTGAATGTGTGTTAATTTTCCATGTTGTATTTGCTAACCTTTCAGCATATAATGAAGCTGTCTGGATATTAGGAAATTTATTTTCATGCGTATGTGTTAAATCCTATACTTCTAATGTTGATTGTACTAGAGAGGACTGAAGTATGAAGAGATTTACCAGGACCTTTGCAGTAAGGATTAATTCACTTCCATCAAGTTCACTCCACGTATCAGGGAATAAACTACTACAGATGTTATATTTTATGGGGACTGATTGACTTCAGAGGAGAGAATGAACGATGGTACATTCATTTACATGTAATTTCTTCTCTGCGAAATACCAAACTTTTTAAGCTTTTCCTCTTTGCTGTTGCCAGTCAATCACGTCACGCTCTCATTCACTGACTTTGCTACTGAAAACAACAGACAAAACTGTACAACGGATTTTGTGGAGATTCTGGATGGGAATAACCATGAGGCTCCTCTTAGAGGTATTGTACCTTTCCCTTACTTATTTTGCATACAGAACTACATGCAAGGTAAGCAGGAGAAGGTTTTCTGTGGCTGTCCTCCTGTTTCATAGATTTTCTCTGATAAAGGAAGCTTCCTGGCCACTCTGGCCAGGTGAGGCCAAGAATGGATGACAAGTCTTCAGTGCAAATGGCACAATCCTCCCAGACTCTGTGTTCCGGCTAACCTGCAGTTTGGGGTTGACTCCAGCTGCCTTTTCCTTCCTCCTCAGCTGAACAATATTGGGAACCAAGCAACTCAGTTTAAGCTGAATTCCCAGTTAACTGTATAAAAACATAATGTAACACACATTCAAAAGCACAGTCCACATTAAGTACAGTAAGCACAGTAAGTGAAAATAAAGACATATATTTCTGGGACCAGAAAATGGATTTTCCTCAGGTCCTGCAAAACATGTTTTTCTGCTTGTTCGTGAATTTTCCACAGCTTTCACCTGGCATCTCTGTCCAGAGCCATAACCTTCAAGTGTCAGGAGCAGCCTGGAGCAGCAACATTCAGTGCTTATATTGTCAGGAAGCCGTGAGAGATCCCTGGCCACAGGGTGGTCCTGAGTCTCCTCACATCTCCAGGGTTGCCTCAAATTCCTTTCTGGGAAATTTGGAAAATCTGTGCCTGATTATGCTTTCTCTTAATCTACTTTTGTATATGCTTCTTTGTCAGGAGTGGGTCTGCAGTCAATTTCAATGGTTTGTAACTAAGAGTAGAATTAATTTTTTTGGTCTCCTACCTTTGGCTTTCACTTGGCAAGAGGACTGGGATGCTAGCTACTATTTCTTTTTACTGTCAGATGCCCTTCTGCTATGTCATGATTCATACACCTAATCCTTGTGTTACAGTCCATTACAGGAGAACTACTCTGTTATTTGTCACTTGTCTTTTTTTTTCATCAGAAACCAACAGAGAGAAATTGAAACTACCATCAGATACAGTTGATGGGGATTTTTTTTTTTTTTTTCCAATTAGGTTGTAATATCTAGATAGAGTGAACACAAAGGAGCTCAATGACAGAACAGCCAGTGAATAAGGGGTCTGGAGTGCAGGAGGTACTTCCTCTGTTAAAAAAAAAAAAAAAAATTGCCACCAGAGTTGAGTTCTGTGAAAAGCAATATTTCACTTTTATGTAAGTTGAATTGACAACTGTAATTGTAAATAACAGATGTTACTCCTGGTTGCTGTCAGGCATTAACCCCAAATGTTAAATTAGCAATAGTAATTACATGCTGTGAGCACTCCTCTTTTTTTTCTCTGCGGCTTGTTCTTTTTCAGGCCGTTACTGTGGCACTACTATACCACATCCTATCACTTCTTTTGGGAATGCCTTAGTGGTGAACTTCATCTCCAACAACGACATTACTGCCAGGGGCTTCCATGCCACCTATGTTGCATCGTCATCATGTGAGTCCATATGACAGGTGTTGCTACCCTATGCTTCTGACTTTCAAGGAAAAGAACAGATCCTGTATCGCTTTGTCTCTCTGACATCCCCCCTTTTAAAATCCCCTGTCACCTTTTCTCTTTCTCCCCAAAGCCTCAGCACATAAATCAGCAAGCTAAAGGACAAAGAGACAAGGAGAAATGCTTTCTTGATGAGCAAATGCTCTGTCTCTGTCAAGGTGTATATATATATATATTTCATGTCATCTTTCTCAAGCCTCTGCTGCCTCCTTCTCGTTGCAGCCTGTGGGGGTACTTTCCACATGGACCAAGGAGCTTTCAACAGCCCTGGCTACCCCGAGCCGTACCCACTCAACGCCGAGTGCGTCTGGACGATCCTCAGCTCCCCTGGCAACCGGCTCCAGCTCTCCTTCATGTAAATCCAACCCTGGGGGTTATTATGCAGCCTTTTGACAGATTTGAAGGATGCTTTGTGTTTATTAGAAAATGTAATTACCAGATGATAAAGTTGAAACTTGTTTGTAGAGTAACTAGGAAAAAGAACACAGCAGTAGTTGGTTGCAGCTTGCAATCAGTGTTCTCTTGTCTCAGTCATTGCTTATAGGAAGCCATATACAACATCATATAAGTGGTTTATTGTTTGAGCAATATGGGATCCTGAAGAAGCCAGTTCTCACTCATAAACAAGAAGAGGAAATTTAGCATTGGGCTGCCTTTTCTTTACAAAGGAAATTCCTACCATCCCCTCACTATTGGATTTATTGTAGTATTTATATTATAGCTGAGTAATACAAAGGGCCCAGTTAGTCCACAGATTGTACAGTTAAAATTGATATTAAAGTCTCCAAAATTTCTCCAGCAGTTACAGCAGTGGAGATACAACAGGGGCCAGGAAAGTATGTGAAATTCTCTTTTCTCTCCAGCAAAGTAACTTTCCTTTGAAGACTTCTGACAGGAAAGTCATGCGGGATCCCCAGAACAATGTGGAGTCCTTTACCACCATCGTTAGGTTGTTCTTTACCCACTATGTGGATTTCTGAGCCAGTTTCTGGCATCAAACAGTGGCTCCTGCCAAGAAAGAGAGCACTGACCCTTTGCAAAGCTTATCAAGAAAAGAAAAGTAATTCTAAAACCTGCATTTGTGGTTATTCAGGACAAAAGGAAGATTTGCTCAGTAGCATGCTGACTGCATGAGGTGCAATTTGTTCAGCATGTACTGATTCACTAATGCAATAAAAAGGACATTCTATTCCCCTTTATTCACTGAAGCAGAGAAAAATACTACAGCCTGAAAACATTTTCAAAAATATTTGCTACAAACTAATGAGCAACAACGTTGCAGAACTAAACCAGAAATCTCGTGTAAAGCAGAAACTGTCGTGGAACATGCCTTCAGTTATATCATACGACACTGAGTAGATGTAAACTCTTCTTCTTCAGTTACACATAGCTGAAAGGCAAGCTAAAAAATGCTGTAAAGCATGGAGTAATTGTGTTAGCAGTATTTATTTAATTTAATTTAATATTAGGGGGTTATAAAGTTTTGTTGGCATGAGGCATTCATTTCCTTCAGCTCAGTCTGAACAGAAATGCCTGTCTTGCAATTTGAGGGTTAGCTTTAAATTAATCTAAAGTATATCCATATGAGTGGTTGGAAACATTTCAGGCCATGTGTACACCAAACACATGTGGCTATACTCAGGACTGAAGGGGAGGAGCTGTTACCAGAAAATCAGAAAGTACAAATACTTGGGGAGTTGGTTATAAGAGGCACTGTCTCAGATCTTTACTATGTATTCATAGCCTGCTTCTGGAAAGTATACTGGATTGAATGAAAGCACTTAATTTAGAATAACAGATAATGATTTTTAGAATATATTTAGCATTCATCTTGGTGCACTAATTAAGAATTTATAATTTTATTACTAAATCATATTCATTTTCTAACGTAAAAATTGGTTTAGAAGACTTCATAGCAATCATTGGTATTTTACACACCCAGCTACTGTGAAACTAAGGCCAGAGAAACAGTAATATTTTACAATTCTGGAGAAACGGCTAAGGGATTTCTGAGCTCTGACGAGTTAACTACAACTGAACCTAGGCCTCTGGCAATTGTGTTCTCACCAGAGAGTGTACGTAAATAACACACATATGAAGGAGCTACAAACTGATATGTAAGGCTAAAAGTATTCTCTGCACCCAACAGATGTGCACCCAGTAAATAGTCTGACCTGGACTTATTATAACTTATCAAAATTATATTTTGGAGGGGTTTTAAACCCGCTGGTTTTGCCCGGGAAGAAAACACCCCCAGCGGGACCCCGGTAGTACCTCCAGTGTGGTCGACAGCGAAGAGGAGGGCAGTGGCGAGTAAAGGAGGGATGGGCAATGATCGCTTTCTTCCAAAATAAAAGGTTTTAATAACATGAAAATACCGAACAAAAACACCTGAGGCAGGCACTGAAACAGCACCCACCCCAGGGGAGAAGCAAAAGAGCATGTGGCCTTGGGGCCAGGGGTTTTTAACAGGTTGGTAGGTGGGTTTACAAAGGCATTGTCCTGTAAGGATACCTGGATGGGTTACCGACAGGTCAGGGGTCCAATGGGTGTTAGGGGATTGGTCTTGTGGTGGCTAAGCCAACCACAACCTGGGAAAGATGGAAAATCTGGATGTGTGCCCATGTTTGGCGACAAAGAGGCAACAGAAACCTCTGTCTCCAGGAGGCGCACTGCAACAGACTTACATTAGAAATCTGGTTTGTGTGTCAGAGGTTTCTGTGTTTTATGGTTGTTGTTGGAGAATCAAGAAGCATTATAAGGGATTGAGAAGTCTTTAAAAAATTTAACTTTGCAAACTGAAGCTCTGTTGTAAAATACAGGGCTAGAAAAAGAGAGAGCCTTGTATCAGCAGCACTGCCAGGTGATGAGCTGTGACTTCTGGGTTCTGGAAGGTTTTGTTACTAGCTTCTTTGTAATTGTTACAGTAGGATATCAGTTACAGGGAGATTTGTGGCCTGGAAGGGCAAACTCTGAGGTATGTGCCAGTCATATGTCTGCTAACGCTCTTCTACGGCTCTCGAAACAGAGCGTTTCAGGTGGAAAATAGCAGCAGCTGCACCAAAGATTACCTGGAGATTCGGGAAGGGAACGACACAGGCATGCTGGCAGGACGATTCTGTGGGAACTCCTTGCCTTCAAATTATACGTCTACGGTTGGACATGTCCTGTGGGTCAAGTTTGTCTCAGACGGCTCAGGCACTGATGTTGGCTTCAGGGCCACATTCTCTCACTGTAAGTAAATCTTATTTAATGGAAAACTATTGTTCTTTCATAGCATATTCAAAAAAGTCATCATTTGACCCTGCAAAGTCTATTAGAAAATATTTGTTGATGTCAGTAAGGCTGTAAATTCACTTAAAAATATTTTGTAAAATACCTGCTGATTGTAAAGAGATACTCTAAAACATGTCAGAACAGAACTCGTGTATGTAAGTATATTAAGTATAAAATAATCAGAATAAATACATGTCACATTCTACCTTTTTATTTTATCATAACAGACAATATTTTTTTTCAGATTGATCATATGGTCTCTCTAGTAGCGAAAACTTCCGTGGAATACACAAAATAAAATGTCCTCTATTTCATTGACTGCTCACTTTTTATCATGTGGTTTTCATATTCTTCCTTCAGCAGTATTGGGCTGTGAAGATACAAATAAGAGCTATGTACTAAAAAGTTCTATGGCAACCCAAGTTTACCAGTAGCCTGCTATAGTTAAAAATATCTGACCATATGTCTTTGCTACCTGAAAGTGAGCAACTGTATTTAATGTTTATATTGCCATTTATTTCCCAGCTTTGCATTTTGTTTTTTCAGTACAAAAGTATTCATCTTCTGATTTGCATCCAGATGCCATCAGCCAGGGAGCAGAATGAGAAGAAAAGCAAATTATGTCAGTTTATAGATAAAAAATTTCAAGGAACCATTGTAAACCTCCGTGTGACTTGCCGTGTGAACAGACTGTTGAAGCTAAACATCCACAGCCATTCTGATTATGCAAGCTAAACTTTAACGATTGTCCTTAATTTGAGACTTTTGCCACTCATTTTCAAAAGGAATTATCAATAGTTCACAGCCAATCAGATCAGAATAATTTTTCACCAGAACACACAGAGGCATTTGTCATGGTTTAACCCCAGCTGGCCATTAAGCCCCACACAGCAGTTGCTGATTCCCCTCACAGTGCGAGAGAGAGAGAGAGAAACAGAGGAGATAAAGACAGTTGATAGGTAAAGCAAAAGCTGCACACAAGCAAAACTAGACAAGGAGTTCGTTTTCCCATGGGCAGGCAGGTGCTCAGCCACCTCCAGGAGAGCAGGGCTCCATCACACCTAACAGCTACTTAGGGAGACAAACACCGTCACTCTGAACATTCCTCCCTTCCTTCCTCTTCCCCCTAGTTTATTGCTGAGCGTGACACATGTTATGGAATATCACTTTGGTCAGTCAGAGTCAGCTGTTCCAGCTGTGTCCCCTGCTAGCTCCTTGTGCTCCCCCAGCCTACTCGCTGCTGGGGTGGCGTAAGGAGCAGAAAAGACCTTGACTCTGTGTAAGCACTGCTCAGCAGTAACAAAAACATCCGTGTGTTTTCAGAACAAATCCAAAACATACCCCCATACTAGCTACTATGAATAAAATTAATGCTATCCCAGCCAAAACCAGCACATTTAAAAAAAAAAAAAAAAAAAATGCTTTTTGGGGAGAAATTAACATGAAGTAGGTGGTCAGGGGGCAATTTACATGTGCCATCTTCCCACCTCTTGTACATGTAGAGCCACATAGCTTGAATGAGTAATTTCCTTCAGATAAGGGCACACTGCATCCCTCACAAGAAGAAAATAATTCAGTGTGCATCCTAGGACTGTCTGAGACACAGTTCTGTGCCTCACAGTGATGTGTAGTCCTAGAGTAAATCAAAACAGCCAAACAGGCTGAAATGAAAGCTGTATTCCAGGCTGGGCCCCAATGCTGCTTCTAATCCATGTGAATTACAGGCATTAGTTGTCTCTTTCTTGTTTTTTAGTGTATGGAAATGACATTGTGGGAAGCAGAGGACAAATAGCTTCACCACAGTGGCCCAGAAGCTACCCTCACAATTCCAATTACCAGTGGCGAATAAGCGTCAATGCTTCACAAGTTATCCACGGCCGTATCCTGCAGATGGAGATCGAAAATCATCACAGCTGCTATTATGACAAGCTAAAGGTGATTTCATTGTGAGAAGTTATTTTATTTCAATTAACTTTGATAAAAATGATTCACAGAGAAATGTACAAGAGGAATGGGAAGAATTTCTGAGGATCTGGTGTGGTTTATTGTTTTTGCTATGCCATCTTCTTAATAATAATTAAGAATAATTATAGGAAGGGTTGCATACTCTTTGGCTCCCTAACTGATGTTTCCAACCTGTAAGTTTGAAACTTATTAAAAATAAGTCCACAGTGGTACAATCCTGAATTTTCAAACCCAAGAATTTCAGGTCAAATACCAGGTTAAACTTTGCTCTTTGCTGGTTCAGTTGAGGACAACAGTGACTATACTATTTCAATGCCTCTAAAAGTAAGGTTACTTTAAAATCCTACAAGGAGCAGTAATTTACTTGTACCTTCTTTGTTCTTTGAATCAGTAATTTGCTGTTGGCAGTAGGAAGGTACCTCTTTCTTCCTGTTTGACCATTTTCAGTGCTCTTCCGTAATACAATCTAGCTTTTTTACCAGGTTGAAAAATACAGTGCACATCTTGCTAAGCAAAATGGAGTAATAGAGGCAAGAGCTTCTCTCTGAGTGTAGCTAGGCATAACTACTTATTTAACTAAGGTAAATCTTTTCTTGTCTTTTTTTTTTTTTTTTTTTTTTTTTTTTTTTTTTAATCCAGTTGATTCACTGATTATCCATTTCTTTCATCATCTTTGGGAAAGAGAAAGTCATTACTAGTTCAATATATTAAGTATATTCAATCCATTATTGATTCACTGATATATAAATTTAATATTAGGTAGAAAAGGAAATACAGCTTTTTCCTTCATCTCATCTCAGATTTTAAAAGCATATTCTTTATTCTAACTCAGCCTGCCTTTCTTGGTCCTTCTGAAAGTGAAATGAATTCGTCAAATCAGCTAGACATTCAGCTAGTGTGTGAATCAGCCTGACCTTTAACGTGACTCAGGGATCAAATCTTCAATGTAATGTTTATTTAATATTTTCTAGCTTTCTCTACTGGACATTTTTTACTGGGAGGAAGAGGATGAGAACACAAATAGGTTTTAAAAGTGGCAAAAGAGAAGCATCTTTTAACGAGAAAAGATTTTTATTTATAAATATATAAAA